AGAATAAAAGCAGAACACTTAGAAAATTAGGCATGCATTCTAGCTTTTTTCTTCTGGGCAGAAATATGCCTATAAGGGAAATATCCTGTCATGTGAATCTCCACCTGAAATGGTGGCCTAGACTAACAGTGTCTCATTGCCATGGCAACTCTTTGAAGTTATGTCAGATGTAGGTTATTCTTGGCTGTGTTTCCTTGACCCCCTCCACATATACACACTCACAAAAAAAGACAGTTCAACAACTAACTAAATAGTCTGTAAATGCACTTAAGCTTCACTTCAGTTGGGAACTGGGACTAGAGGGGTGAATCAAAGTGCAGACAGTAACCATTTATGGACTTGCTTCACTTCAGTTGGGAACTGGGACTAGAGGGGTGAATCAAAGTGCAGACAGTAACCATTTATGGACTTGCTTCACTTCAGTTGGGAACTGGGACTAGAGGGGTGAATCAAAGTGCAGACAGTAACCATTTATGGACTTTTTGCTGACAGCAGGACTGAAAAGTTAGTGATTTATGGATATGAATATAAATAAGGGATGGATTATGGTAGAAAGAAATATTTGGAACCATATGGGGGGAGAAGAGTTATCAAATTTGTTTATACTTGACATAAGTTTGGAAGTCACTTCTTTATATACTTTTTATCTTAATTCTTTTTCTTTGTACTTTTTATTCTTTCTATTTCTCTTTCTCTGAGTTTAGCTTGTATTTGTTTTTTCTATTGTAATAAAAACTTTCAATAAAAATTATGGGGGAAAAGTGCAGACAGAAAAAATTAATAGGGTTTTAAGTTAGCCGTGGCCCAAAGTCCCACTGATTTCAATATCATCTGTGCCATTGAAAATGTCCCAGATTTGAGAGAAGAATAATTTTCACTGGCAGTCAAGGTAGGTTAGCCCCTTATAATTTTGATTTCCCCTCTCCATAGCTCCTGTCTCAAAGATGACACATTAATTACAAAATAACATTTTTAGCTTCACTATTTCCCTTCCTAAGCTTCCCTTCCCTTCTCTGTATCTTTATGTGCCAGACCACCATTAAGGTGCAATTGTAAATGGGTAGCAACCATATGAATAGAAGAGATTTCAAGCCTTAGGGTACTGGGTATGTGTGGATGTGGCACACAGAATTAAGGAAAGCTCCTGGCTGTTTGTGTTTGTAAAATAATTTCTACCTGTGTAGAACAAAAAGTTGCAAATAAATTGTATCTTTAATTCATCTTAAACCTGCTCTGTTTATAAACTGGCCCATAGGCATTGCTGCCTTTGGTGTTAGGTGGAAAAGGAAAATGGTATAATTGCATATTTTTCACTCTAGCATGCCTATTGACGGAATATCCTAATGGAAGCGAGGAGTAATTTAATGGAAGCAAAATGTTTTCTAATACAAGTTGAGCTAGTGGTTTGCTTACATTCTTCCCTAACAGCAGGAAGGAAGGAAGAGCTGGATGGTTGCTGCTTCAGTCAAAGGAGGAATATCATGGAAGCACTGTGGGATCCCAGATCATGTCCAGACATGTTGGGGCTCTACTTCTTATTATTCCACCATGCTAATGGACAGATTGGCTGGTAGAGGTTGTAATCCAAAACATCTGGGCAACACCTGTTTGGGGAAAGCTATACTAAGAATTTGATATTGTCAGGTATGGAGGGTTACTTTCAAAAAGCATGTATATAATTGGGTAAGTAGTACAAGATGTTTTGTTTTAATGTGCCCATTTGCCATTTTACCAGCTTTGAAACGGAGGGCTGAGTGAAAGGACATCTTTTACTCTCAAGAGATCTTGATTCCCATTCTTGTCTTTAGAGGAAGAAAATGGATTGCAGGCAAGCAGCTTCTAACATTCTGCTTTCGTGTTCTTGTATTGTTTAATAGTGGTGCAGAAGAGGGTAGCTGGTTTTCTCAGGAATGCGTTATTGACTAAAGATGTTGACATCTGGAACATTGCTTCATGTGAGCCCCCATCTGTAAATGAACATTGGTTAATCACCTCAATGAAAACTAGACTGGATACAGAAGCTGCTACAGTAACAGTTCTCAAGCAGGTTTCTTATTCAACTGTGCCTATGGGGGAAAAAAAGAGGCTAACAATAATTATGGGAAAGGTGGAGTCTCTTCTGTGGAAATGACCAAGGACACAGGAAATAAAAGGGTCCACCCAATTACTAACAGTAAATGTCACTCCACCAAAATAGGTTTAGTAGCTCTTGCTATAACTGATTTTCTGATCTATATGTTTCTGTGCTGAAATTTGGGGATATAAATTGTTAAAAGTAAATGGCACTAATAATGCTTATATTAGATTTTCTTTTTCCAGACTGCTTTCAGTATTAATATCTTTACCTGCCTATAACAAATGAGTACCTTAGATATCACTCTCAGGTTCATGACTCTGCTGGTTATGGATGATAGGATCGATAATCCAGTATGCCTGGAAAGGACCTGGATGAGGAAGATTATCTTTGATCTAAACATTTTCCTCCAGCTGTGGAATAAAATAGTTCTTTTTCTAATGCAGAGTAGGCTTTCCTAACCTGGTGTCTTCCAGTTATTTTGGATACCACCTCCATAATATCCCTGCCCATTATGGATAGGAATGAAAAGACCCATAGCCTTAATCTGAAGGCTACTGAGTTGGATTAAGACCAAAATAGGATAATTATGAATAAGGTGTAGGGGGAGCAGCAAAGAAAAGTTTCATTACAATGTGACCTGGAAAGTTTACTTCCATATGAGAGGCAAACAAAATAAATGGAATTACAACTGAACAAAGAAAGTCTTTTTAGAGTGAGTAAATTAAATTGACAAGGAATAGTAAGTTATGTCTGCCTTCTGGGTTAATGGTAATAAGCCCACTTTTTTGAGAAATAAGAGCTGCTGTTAGGCTAAGAAAAATGTCCTCAGATAAAAAAGCTCCTGCCTATATTTCTTTAAGAAAATTTGTGACCAGAGGCTGAAATAACTTGGGCTGAGAGCTTTCTTCCATTTCAGCTTCTCTGCTATGTTGGTTTTGTGTCAGGAAGTACCCCAAACATCTGTGATGTCCAGAAAATAGACAACTGTTTCCACTTGAAGAATTTCAAATATTTGAACTAGACCTTAGTTGTTCCCTACAAAGAGACCTGAATGCCTGATACAGAGGTAGGTTAAAAATATTTTGGATGAACAAAATGTGTGCATTGTTGGTACAACCCGTGCACAGAACTATGATCAGGTGACAGTTAAGCAGGGGCAGCTTCTGGTTAGTGCTTGGGAGACCAGCAAGACATAGCAGGTTGCAGGCTAACGGAAAAGCTGCAAATATCCCTAAAGATGACAGAGGCAAATTGTTTCCAGGCTGTTACCAAGAAAAATCCACGGGGGTGTCCATGCAGTCACCAAGGGCCTGGTAACTTTCATTTTGTGTGTGGAGCAAGCGAAGACTCCCTGTGCTATACTGGTATCATGAGAGACACTGCAACACTATCTGATTTTTCAAGTGCAGAAACTGGCATATGGAGAGGAAGCATAGATTTTTTACAAGGGGCCCAATGGTTCTTGGTTTGCTGTGTCCTTCATTCTCCCTCCCCCATGGATCAACAGCCTGCCTTAAGAAAAATGTTCCCCATATCAAAATTAAACAGGCGGAACTTCCCTGTTCTGAAGCAGTGTATCTCTGAATAGCTGGTTATGAATAAACACCCCCATCCCCTCCCACAAATTTCCCCACAATTCATAGCTAGAAAATTAGCAAGGAATTATGAGAATTGTAGCTAAGCTGTGTTGAGGGACAACAGTTGTTATTATTGGGAAAGACATGACCTTAGATGACC